ACCGGAGGACATTGACTGATTACAGTGACCTCGAGAGCATCTATAAGCGTTGTTGACCGCTCTCGTCTCTGCTCTGCAGAATGTTTATGTAAATATGTGAATGTTTGTGCGAGGTGTTTTTTCAATATTAGAGGTTTTTTTCAGCCAAGAAAAAAGTCTGATAGGAATTTTTCTTGCCTCCAACTCCTACATGTGTCCAGTTAACCACTGTTTTTGTTTGTCCAAACAGGTCTCACTTATAAATGAGTCTTCAAGGCTCATTGTGATTTATCTGTTTAAATAAAGGTTGAATGAATGAAAAAAAAATGTAATAAAGGTTTAAGCTGAATTTCAGTTATCATGTCCGTAATTCTGTTTTCAAATGCTTGAAATTTTTCCACAAATTTTGTTCATTATGTATTTCTTGGTGTTCTTTGCAGGCTGAAATATTATATTGAAACACTTTGGAGCAAATATACACAGTATCAGTCCAAAATAGGAGACCAATAATATGGCAAATATCTCCACAGCCACAGTAAACTTTCCAGGAGAGCTGACATATGCTGGGATGAAGGTGATCCACAATGCACAGAAGGTCAGCATGCTGAAGGTTATCAGCTTGGCTTCATTAAAATTATCAGGTAGTTTCCGAGCTAGAACAGCTAACACAAAGCAAAAACAGCCAGCAGGACATTGTACCTTTCAATTGTTACAATGTTTTATTGTATCTTAAAGCATGTCTACGTGCGGGAAAAAAAGAGGAAATTCATGGAATGTGAGTTGGAGATGCATGTAAATGAGTGAGAGACATAATCGTTTTGTTTGGTACGGTGTCCTCTGGCATTAGCGCCAAGTGCAAGAGGAGTGAGTGGAACATGTGCAAAGCTGTAAATGATGTGGTTTCAGAGCAGCGCAATCCTACAGAAATGGAGAAAAATGGTCAGACATCATGGTGGATGTGAAGCGGAGGATGAATGCCCATTGCCACTTTCATGAACTACACTGTTATTGTAAATAAATGCAGTAGCACACTGGAGAATAAGGAGTTGTAGTGTGTCAAAAAGAAAAGGAAAAGCTGGGTTTGCTTCCTAACCTATTGCCTGTGTGACCAAAACACTGATAAGCAACAGGACATAGATACATATGTAAAATGTATGCACTTTTTTATTTGGCTGCACAAAAGTTCTAAAAAGGATAAAAAAAAAATAGTATTGGTTGATTTGGCCATTCTTTCCATTGTTCTTCTTATGATGCTACAGTGAGCACTGAAAAAAACAAAAAAAACAAACAAAAAAACCGCAGTAACATTTGGAACATTACTTTATTATATCATGTAACTTTTCTATCCATCCATTGATTATCTACCACTTGTTCCGTTTATGTGATTGTGCAACATTTGAAATGTCAAATAGGTGATAAATATTAAACATGAGTAAAATGAAATGTGCATGAGTGAGTGAGAGTATTGATCTTTTATTCTGTTAAAACATTAGGCAGTTGGTATTTTTTTTAGAAACAAATGTTTTTAGACAACAACAAATTATCATTTTTTTTAGAAACAAATAAATAGCTGTCGCCATCAAAATAAACGTGTCTTAATTTCAAATATCCAATATTTTTACAGTTAGTCCAACAAAGTTAAATCAGATCCTCTGGAAACATGAAAAAAAAAAAAATAATAATTTAACATTTTAAACTTGTCTTGTCTAAATATTTTGTCTTTCAACAAGTTTTTAATTATTATTATTATGTTTTAATCCGTAGAGGACCTGACTTAACTTTGTTCGATTTTTCTACCTGGAAAATGGAGCATGCATCAGGATATTTTGCAATTAGGTTTTGTTCATTAAACTTTTCTTTGTGTTTTTCTCAGGCTGAAATAATATGATGAAACACTTTGGAGCAAATATACACAGTGTCAGTCCAAAGCTCGAGGCCAGAATGGCAAATATCTCCACAGCCACAGTAAACTTTCCAGG